AGAGTTCATTAGTCTTTAAAAAACAAAGTTCAAAATGTAAACAAATATAACCGACACCAAACACCAGGATGCTGAAGGCCTGGTGATTGAGCTGTCAGGTTTGTCCATTTGCTTGAGAGCATCACATTTGTCCCCATCATAATCCTCATAACAGTGGCAGGCAAATCTCTCTCGCAGGTCGGAGAGCTCTTGCTCAGAGTGCCACCCGCTGATGATGAAGCCCTGTAAGGATAATGTTTTTTGACTTCTCTAGTGCCTTCAATACCATCCAGCCCTTACTTCTAAGGAGGAAGCTGGAGGAGATGCAAGTCGATGCCTCCATGACCTCATGGATCACTGACTACTTGACAGGCAGACCACAGTCTGTGAGACTTCAGAATTGTGTGTCTGAACCGGTAGTGAGTAACACAGGGGCACCTCAAGGGACAGTTCTTTCTCCATTCCTCTTCACCCTCTATACTTCGGACTTTAAGTACAACTCAAAGTCATGCCACCTGGAGAAGTTCTCAGATGACTCTGCAATTGTGGGATGTATCAAGGGTGAGCAGGAGGAGGAGTACAGAGGACTGGTCAGCAGCTTCGTGGAGTGATGTGGAGTGAACCACTTGGAACTGAATGTAACAAAGACAAAGGAACTGGTGGTAGATTTCGGGAGGAAAAAGGTCAAACCTACTCCTGTCTACATCCATGGGAGTGGCGTAGAGATGGTGGACTCGTACAAGTACCTGGGAGTGCACATCGATGATAGACTGGAATGGTCTAAGAACATCGAGGCCATCTATAAGAAGGGACAGAGCCGACTTTACTTCTTGAGGAGGCTCAGGTCCTTCAAGGTGTGTAGTAAGATGCTACATATGTTCTATCAGTCGGTGGTAGCGAGTGCCATTTTCTACGCAGTGGTGTGCTGGGGCTCTGGGATTAGAGCAGTGGATTCTAAAAGGCTGAACAAGCTCATCAGGAGAGCAAGCTCTGTCATTGGGTCTGACCTGGACCCCTTGGAGGTAGTGGCTGAGAGGAGAATGGTGTCCAAACTAGAGGCCATCATGGACAACATCTCCCATCCCTTCTATGACAGGCTTGCAGAAATGAAGAGCACGTTCAGCAATAGACTGATTCATCCACGGTGCGACAGAGAGCGCTACAGGAGGTCATTCTTGCCTTCTGCCATAAGACTGTACAACACATCCACCTTGCGTCTGGGCAGAGGCAACATTGACAGTGACCTGTTTCTGGACTGAACACATCTACACATCTACTGCTACATCTGTTCTCTTTCTTTTTCTTTTCCCGTTTACAACTGTTTTTTGTGCAATATATGCCAGGGACCTGTGCAATACATTTACATCTATATTTATATCTATGTCTATATTAACATCTATATTTATATTCAGATGTGTGATACGATTTTTCTGTGTACTGTTCTGTTCTAGTCTGTTCTTTGTGTGTCCGGATTGTGAGTAACTCTTATATTGTATTGTATGTTTTGTATGTATTGTACTATTATTATATAATTCGTTACACTGTGGCTGTGTTGTCTGTGTTAAGCTGCTGTTGCACTGCAATTTCCCTCACGGGATCAATAAAGTATCTATCTATTTGTGCTGTTAAACAAAAATATAAGCATTTGTATATGAAAAGGATTCTTTTTTTTAAGAAACAAACTTTGAAGAAAAAAGCTTGTATTTCAGATAAATCCCACTTTTTGTCTAATCATGATATCCATCCATCCCTTTTTTTACTGCTTTGTCCAATTCTGGGTTGCAAGGGAGCTGGAGCCCATCCCAGCAATCACTGGGCACAAGGGAGGGTACACCCTGGATGGGACGCACACATACACTCACACCAGGGTCAGTTTTCCCAGATGTCTCAATTAACTAGCCAGTATGTGTTTGGACTGTTGAAGGACCTGGGGAAAACCCTACACACACTTGGAGAAAATATCAATTCCATGCAAAAGCACTGTGAGGAAGCAATGCTAACCACTGTACTACCATGTTGACCCTGATCTTGATATATATGCTGTTAAATGTACAGTATCTTGCAAAAAAAATAAAGACCTTGGACTTACCCTTGAGGATGTTAGATTTACATCTCCCCAGATAACAAATCCAGCAGCTCCCAAGGCAGCACTCTCTCCAATGGTGTGGATAAGGTCTTTCTAAAAAGAAACAAACACTTGAATAACAGATGATTTATAATTAATAAAGTAAATATTATTGGTGACACACTAGGGAGAAGTGGCTAGGGATCTGGACTCTGGACGAGAGTACTGTATCTATGTTCAAATCCCACATGCAATGTTGTTGCGATATTCTTGAGAATCTTGCTGTCTAAATGGATATTCTCCAGGTCATAATTGTAAATGGGAATTCAAATCACAAAGAATAATATCACAAAATAGGAAAATGCATTTACGAATATTTAGTGGGAAATTAAGGGTTAAGTAGTTTTGCCTTATGTTCCTATCCATATTTTTTATATTATACTCTTTTCACTATTTAGTCTTATGTACTCATATGTGTATCGCATAATCAAAATTAGGATTTTTTAATTATTATTTATGTGATAAATAGTATTATGTTTTTTGCCTTGCATAAACAATTCAAATGGTTACATTGAATTGTAGTGTACACATCTCACCACAAGATGGCGGGTACATATTAAAAACGTTCAGACTGCTTTCACTTTTAATAATAATAACTATTTTTATTTTATGTAGCACCTTTAAAAGAGAGGATTTGTGCTAAATACATTGCCAATAAAATAAACTAGAAGTTAAAATACCCAAGAATTGTTTCTAAATATAAAATAATGTATAAAACTCTGCAAAGGCCATATGTCCTGTCACAGGACTACCCACCTAAGAAAGTCAACTCACATTGCAACACTTCAGCAAAAGGAAAGAAAGCAAATAGCTGCATATACTGTATACAGTACTGTATGTGTGCAAACTTGTCTGACAAACTTACACATTTGTCTATCATATATTTACCTCTGACGTTTTGTTTATGTATTTTAGATAAAAATGGATTTTATGTTTACTTATTTTAGAGGGCAATGGATTACATCATCAGACACCCTGCAATTGGAAACACTAAATTAGTAGATGAGCTCACTTGTTAAGCCAGGAGAATCTGCAAACATTCGTACTGACAGACTTAAGTAGTCTGTTATTCTTTCTGCTAGAATGCTGTATCTAAACACAAACTATGACAGAAAGAAATAAAATTATTTCTTGCAACAAAAATGTCAGTTCAGTAGTTGAAGGCCTTATTGAAGGGACACAGTTTCTTCTGAAAAAGTCAGCAGAAATCAAAATAAATTACTTTATATATTACACTAAATATTCTTTGTGGAGTGATTGTATCTTTCTGCCAAACTGAAAATGATTGCTGCCAGGTAATCAAATTTAATTTCTTTTTACAATAGAATTCAGTTTTCTAGTTTCCAATTTAATCCTAGAATCTATTTTACAGTGAAGTATAGACTGCTTTCAGTCTATAAGTCTTAGGCTATCCAAAGGCAAATACTATAGTATAACTGTATCATTACTGTCTCGTATTATTACTTACATGTCAGTTTCTGTGTTTTCCCAGATGCACTCTTTAATGACTTTTATATAGTTTACAAATTCCACTCAAGAAGTGTGAGTACAATGCTGTTTACTATCAAATCTGTATTGTCTGAATGAACCCTCGACGAAAGAGTGGCATTCATTGTTTCTTTGTAACAGCTTTGACTCACTAGTCAATTTCCAGCAATACACTTTCTAAATCTACTTTTTTATCATATACTGTAGTTATGAGCATATTAGACTAATCAAGTTTGTTATTATTTGTTATACTCCTACTGTTGTTTTTTTGCTTAGAAATTACCGTAGAAAGAAATGACAATGCTTCATCCCGGTACCCAAGTCGAGTATAAACGAATGTAGGCAAGTCATAGTCCATAGATGTCATTGAAGCAATTCTTAGAGATTCAAGGACTCGAAACTGTGCGAAATACAAGTTGCTGACACTGTCTGCATGGGATTTCTTAATAGCTATGGAAGGAAATAGAGCTGTGCTGCTGTTCCATAGCCAGAAGAGCTCGTCGTTCCTCAAGCTCTCGAGGACAGGACAGGACCCAGTGTAGTTATTATCAAGAAGATTGTAATTGTGGCAGTCTGGGTAGAGGTAGTAGCCCCAGAGTCCATGGGGCCTAGTTTGAATGCCTAGTTGAATTGTTCTCTTCATGAAAGCCATGGCACTTCTCTCAAACCTTGCTTGGGCTAAATATTCGATTTGTTGAGAGGTAACATTTATATACCCCTTAGAAATAAGATCCCTGGATTTCCTCCTGTATATGTCCTTCTTCTGCCAGTTTCGCAACCACTGTGGCCTCCAGTATTCCCAGTCAATTATTGCCAGTCCACTGAAATTTTCAGAGGGAATATAAAACTTGATGTCTTTATCAGCTTTCTGCAAGTGCGTTTCCAAACTGCAGTTCTGTGGGAGGCCACCATTCACTGGCAGTCCCTCTTCTGTGTAGAAGGGGTAATGTCCCAGTCTGTTTGCATAAAATATAGTCACATTCTGACCCCTTCTTGAAGCTCTTGGGCTTCCACTGATGTGGAACATTTCTAGATTGACACTTATGTTATACTTTGTTGTACAAAGGTCAAAAGGTGCATTCCAGGCAGCAATAAAGGGCTTTCTTCCAATCAAGGGAAGCTTGGCAGGTTTCAGTGCAAATGAAGAGCTAATAAGAATCAATGCCCACAAGCAGGTCAAAATATAAGAAAAAGGTGCAGTATGCTGGAAAGTGGCATGGGATGTCACGTTTGTCATCATGCTGTTTATATCTCACTGCAGACCGGTTTCATTCAGCCTAAAAAAACAAACAAAAACAGCATTAATTACCCAGTATTAATAATGAATTACTTTGATATAAAAAATATGTCTGGTTATTATTTTGGTATTGTAGATGTTTTTCTGATTACCTCTGGAATTCTCCATAATTCTACTTTGATATATCAAGTACTTTGTAAAAACAATAATTTATGATTTACAGCATCTTTCTAGATCTGTGTCTGTCTTCTTTCTCAAACTAACTTGTTGACATTCATTTCATTCTTTTTTAAATATGTGCCGCATCAGTCTATGGATCGGTCCAAATTTGTATGGTAAAACCATTAAAACCTCTGAAAAAAAGCAGCCTATACCCGAAGGGTGAAGAGGTTACAGACTGTGCAGCAGTTCACACCCAGAGATCTGACCAACTTCTAAACCAGAGCTCAGAATTCATTCTGCCCACATAGTTCAAATGATAGCCATGCCTTCCAAAGGACACAAATATCTTACCAAAATTAGAACACACGACAACCTGTTTATTTGGAGCGTGTGCAGTGATACCACATAACAATAGCTCACAGATATTCTCGCTTTTGCCTGTTAATTTAATGTAATTCTGGTATCCCTTTCATTAGAGGTAAAACGTTTCTTGTTAGTCAGACATGAGCCCTTCATAATTAACTGAGGTAAAATCTAGCTACACTTATGGATACATCCCATCAGTAATTGTTGCTACATGTGGAAAACAGCACAGAATAATGGTAAAAGCAAACAGTTATAAAGTAGAGGTTTATCGAAAGGGAAATATGTACATAATGAACACTTTTGAAGGGGGTTTATTGCTTCTGTTTTTAAATACACATGTGGCCTGGGAGGAGAATAACTGATTTCAGAGCAAAAACTAAGTCTACCACAAGGTGGGGGTGTTACAAAAGATTTTCATCCATTCTCATCATACAGTAAATCCTTTAAAACATTCAAACAAAAAAGATGAAGATACAAAAAAATACTTGTTTCCCTCAAAGATCTGTATAGTTTTGTTCTTTTCTTTGAGTGTAGGATGATGAGAGTAAGTAATTTAATGTATGTGACGGAGGATTAAGGGTGAAAATATTGAAAATTAATCGAGGTCAGAAAGCAAGAAGTACAGTATGTGCCCCCTCTTTAGTACTCTCACACCTGAAAAAGGCTCCACAGCTGAAACTTTGTTTTTTCTTTCTTTCTAAATTACTAACCTACTATTTTAATTGTTTTTGCATATATTTTATACTATGAAATTCCAGAGTAACTCTTAAAACATAACTCATTCTAAATTCTCTTTCTACACATCATCACCTTATGATAACATTCTTCCTAGCTATTCTCTGCATTTATTAGCCCTACCCATTGGCAACCAGGCTCCTGTGATAGGTTAAATAAAACTGGACACCCATGGGACGCTATCTTGTTACATTTTCTGTTAGATTTTAGGTATGCTTCATCCATTTCCTCCAACAGACTCCAACAGGGAATAGCACATACTGTACACTAGACCAGTTTCCCTCTTTTCTCAAATGGGGCAAAATATTTAAAACAGATCCCATTATAATGATTATACTAAAGTTCTGTAATCATGTACTATAATCATGTGGATTAATAAGGATCTAGGTGCTACTGTTTATAAGTTGAAAAAATGCAATGGTAATGATAACAATTTATGGTAGAAGCAGCAGCAGTATTAGAAGTGATGGAAAGTAGTAGCAATACAGTCTTTTGCTACAGTATCATCCTTGGGTGATTAATGCATTCATTCAGATATCCTAACCTTTAAAACTATGCTACAAATTGAAACTAGGTGAGTCAGACTGCTTATAAAGATAAACAAACTATATCATAACCATATCATACAATATCACAACTGTTTAAATACTTTTTTACATTGTTGGATCGAAATTACAAATTGCTAGAAAAGAAAGAAACAAAGAAAGATTTCAATGTAGATGATAGTACAGTACCTGCAAGACTATGTGAGCAGCAATTCCTTAATAGAGTCCTGAGCAATGGTAGCACTACTACAAATCAGGATTTAATCTGCTATTAGAGACTAATAACTCTATTTCATAGCAAGTCATGGATTCAGTAAACAGGTTAGCAAAAAAAGTTCCTAATCTAAATAGTACTATCATGTCTTATTCTTTTTTAGATTGATTAAAGTCAGATTTTAGCTAAGTGAAGTATAATGTGTGTGTCCAGCTTCCTTATATCCATATTAATCTAAGTTTTATTATTTTTCAATCATATACTAGTTAAATGTACAGTATGTAGTTCTTTGTGGTTGTGTTGGAGTGAGGTACAGTATGTACAGTATGCTGACTATTCTTGCAGTATACACTAATGCAGTATTGTATATTTTTATACTACCTCAGAAATCTCAGATTTTTCAAATTAATGTTTTATGCATTTAATATAATGAGTGTCTGATGAAAAAAATCCAAATTGATTAATTAAAATACACATTACCGGCATTAAATACAGTAGATATGCAATTTCGAAGAAAAAAAAAACAAAAGAGTTAAAAAATTAAATAGCTGAAAATTACAAAGATTTAAAAAATGCTTAAAAACTTGCTAAAATGCTTAAGAATGCTAGGTACTAACCTAGAATTTATAACAAATCGTGATAGTCTAATAACTAATCAGAAAAAAATATTATAATCATATAGTAATCAAGCATAATATGCCAGATAGATTAAAAATAATGATTTTATTTTACCCATTGGTTCCATGCAGCTCCAAAGTTTCAAGAGAGAACAGTTGCTTGGTTATTAGAAGACTATGTTTTGCTTCAGTCTGCAAAAAGTGAAACACAAGTCTCCCAAAATGTTTTATACAGAATGGAAAGTTTCCTGAGAGGAGGGATTTAAAAAAAATAAAAGCCTATGAAAAACCACTACAGAGCGTGATTAAAATTATGCAGAGAGACAGATATTCTGTCGGATGTACAGTATTATCCCATTGACTGCATGTCAGCATGTGTGTTATCCTTTGATAATGACAAAGCCTATTATTACATTTTTAGTGTCATCCAGATTAATTAGTATTACAAGAGTTTACCAGAAGCATGTGTGCATTGCGCCTCAATATTCATGAGGCATGTTGATTCCATGTAGTATCTTATCATACACCATGCCTCTGCTTTTAATATGATATTTATGCACTGCAGCATCAACTACAGTAACAACAAGCTAGATTTGAGAAATAAGATTCTTACAAATTTCCTCAGTAAATTAATTTATCTTGCCATTTTGGGGCAGCATCAATACATTATATGATAACACCCTCTTGATTGTTTTCTTTATTTAATTCATTTTTCATTTTTAAATACTTTAAATTATTTGGTTATTCAAAGTATGACCTCATGTTAAGTTTTATATAAGTAAACTTTCAAAATTAAAGTTTGGTGTTTAACCACAAAGCCTAACACAAATATGGTGTTTTGTAACCCTCGCCAAAATGTGTATTTTAAAAAGAATGGCTTTTGTGAAGCAGAAAATAACCTTGCCAATACAAAAATGTCGAGTAATGTTTTACATACAAGCCATTCCAAGGCTGAAAAGGGCTTTGAAATTTATATTATATATTGAAGTCAAACAGACAATGAGAGATTAAACCAAACCGTAGATGCCCATTACAGTATGTCACTGATTCTTTATCAAAGTTTTTCTTTAACCAAACATACCAAAATTGATGATACCAGAGGCACCAGCTATACCATCTTAAAATAGATTGCTTGGACCATCAATTTTAAATTAAAAGGACAAATTATTTCTTCTATGTTCCATAATGTTGCTCAATGAGTTAATCTATGCCATTATCCCATATTACGGTTTGACTTTATTAACTGAAAAGACACTTTAAGCTAAAGGATGTTTTATTCTCAAAAGTTTTCCTCGTTGTCTCAAATGTAAGAGATCATACAGTATTTCATCTCTACTGGGCTGCTGAGGTCACATTAAACAACCATTATAATAAAAAACCTAACACACAATACTATTGTGATACCCTTCCATGTTGTAACATATGAACAGTATGAGCTGAGACACAATTCTTTTTCGAAAACAATGCTGCCCTCTTTAAATACATTACTATTGGTTCTGACAAGCAGAAACCCTCCTATACAGTATATTGAGACAGCAGCACTGACCACTACTCCACAATATTGCCTTAAACAATGATCAAAAATGACTGTTTTAACATGTGTTTTTTATTACAAAGATTGTTTGCTTCAGTGGTTTTAAATTGAGAAACAGCAGAACCAGAGTTGCCTTGGACAGACTGGTGGGCTCCTTTTAAATGACTTTGTTACATCCACTGAGATATTCAGAGCCGGGGATTGATACAGTACATACTGTAGTTTAAAACAGTACCCTTATGCTACATTAACTTGAGCTTTTAATTTGATACATATCTCAGAAAACAGAAGGTACAATTGTTGGCAAGTGACGTATCTTTAGAAACACCAAGCAGATTATTATCATAAAAGATTTTTATGCCTTGCTTGTTGAATAGTGAATAATATTATACCAACTGTTTCTCTAAACTGAGAAAGCAGCATAACATGTACTATTATTTTACTGCACAACAAACAAAATTATAGTTCTCAAGTCCTGACAAAATATAAGTATAAAAGAAAAATCAGAATCTACTGCAGTGTGGGGCATTACATTAATTCTATATATAGAAAGTATAATAAGCAGCACAATTACAAGGAAAACAACTCTGGTTGACCTTTAGGATGTCTAGCATATACTCAGCAAATGTCAGTGTAATCTAGTTTAGGTGCATTGATTTGTATTGCATATATTTATTCTATCTTATCTTACTCAACATTAAAGTAACATAAATGTATTCTATTCAATTTTAAACTTTGCAAACGCTACATTTAAAATAAATGTTAAATGTATAAATTTCAAAATGAAAGAAAATACCTTTAAAATGCCTTTAAACCACAATCTGTTACTCTTCATTGTAAAAATAAGCTAACTTCTGTGCTGACCTT